CTCACTCACTCTGTGTCTCACTCACTCACTCACTCAGTCTCACTCTCTGACTCAGTCACTCACTGTCTCCCTCACTCACTGCCTCCCTCTCTCTCTGACTCAGTCACTCACTGACTCACTCTCACTCACTCACTGACTCACTCTCACTCACTGTCTCACTCTCACTCACGGTTTCACTCACTCACTGACTCACTCTCTCATTTTCTGACCCACTGTCTCACTCTCACTCACTCACGGTTTCACTCACTCACTCACTCTCTCACTGCCTAAAAAAAAAAAGAATTAGATTTTTCTTAACCGGGCGTTTCATTTTGAAAGGCAAGACTCTAGGGAGAACGCAAAGAATGGCATTCTGACAAAACAAAGACAGGTCCGGGCCCCGGTTGGCTGGGGGCTGGCTGTTCCCTGAACTACTTCACTCTGAGGTGGCCTTTTAAAGCAAGAACGGTGCCCTTCAATTCAGGAAGGGGAGGTGAAGAAGACACCAAGGGGCAAAACCAAAGGGAAGCCCCAGACTGAGAGGTGGCAGCTGAAGATGGTGGATTGCTTGACGTTAGCACACATTTATGGGTCAAGAAAAACTCTACTCCAGGCACTGAGGGTGCCTACCCTTCGGGGAATTCCCGAGGAGTCATGGGGAGTGCCTTAAGAATGGAGAATAATCCATTCTTGTCCCAATTTTCACAAATGGGCAGGGAGGTTAAAAAATGAGAATCAGTGCCAAGTTCTAGAAGGGAGGTTTTTGTTTGGTGTGTGAGGGCAGGGTAGCTGTGACTTGCTGTGGTTTGCCACCCTGTCTCGGGGCCCCTCTGGTTTCTTCCGAGCTCCTGTCCCACGTGTCGGAGACTCGGATCTCTCCAGGTCCCCACACCCTCTGCCACCAGGCTTACACATCCACATCCAGGGCTCACTCACTCAATTGTGTTGAAAGCTGGGGACTTGAACTGGGGGCCATGTTTACGTAGGATCGCACATCTACTTGTTCAAACGTTTCAACAACTCCCTGTTCACTTCCTTCTGAGCTTCTCAGTGGGGGACAGAGTCCCAGTGGAATCCAGCTTTGGCTTGGTCTCTCTCTGAAAACAATACTTTCAAGAGGAGAAAAAAAAGAAAGCCCACAAGGCAGACGCAGCTGCAGCCCACCCTGGGTACCTGTAGGCTCACAAATTAAGTTTGTCCTGCACTAGGGTGTCGTGTGGTTCAGCAGGTGAAGGTGGAGAACTAGTTCAACCAGGTAGATTCTGCGCTTACCTAGCAAATCTGATGACGAGCGTTATGAAGGAAGCCTCTGGTCCACAGACGTCCAAGGCTTAAAAGAGCCAGTATTTAAAAAGGTGACGAGTGATGACATGCTACTCGCTTATCAGATCTGCGGATGAAAACAGAGAGAAATGTCTTACCAGTGAGTAGCTGGGGTGGAGACACAATTGAGAGGTTCCAGAGGAAGGGGTGTGAGGGCAGAGGGGAAGGTCAGGACGGACCTCCTTCCCAACTCCTGACCACCTTAGACAACAATGCGCCCAGCAAACCTGCAAGCTCCCTGAGCCCAGGCCTAGCCCCTACGTACCTTCTCGCAGCCTGAGGAATGAGACTGCAGGGCACTGCAACTCCCTGAAAGGCCTCTGCAGAGTGGCTGACACAAAGGAACGCCCCCAAGCCCACGCTCAGAACCCTCCATGGGACAGGACGAGCCCTGTGCCACGCAGCACCTCTCAGGGTCAGGCTGCTCGAGGGCTGATGAGTTCATGGCATCAACAATTCATGCATTTCGGTTCACAGCCAGCCTACATTTGTATGTTTTCCTTTTCTCAACAGTTTTAACGTCTGTACCATTGGCTAAATTAATGACACTATCAATGCACAGTGGTTACACATTGACTGGGCTGCTAACTGCCAAGTCACCAGTTCAAAACCACCAGTCAGCTCTGCAGGGAAAGGATGAGGCTTTCTACTCTAGTGAAGATTTGCAGGCTCAGGGCCTCACAGGGGGCAGTTCTACCCTGTCTAACTTATAGGGTGGCAGATTCAATACTGACTGGATGGCAGATTCAATACTGACTGGATGGCAGTGGAAGGGGATGATTGATAATGTTCTCTAACATAAAATGACAATGATACATTTAATTCTAGCCCCAATCTAAGATCAATTCGTTCTTATGACATGGCCCCGCGTGATGAAGAGATCACTGAAATAAGATATGGGTGCTAGAGCAAAGTGTGGTGAAGAAACTAGATGGTGCCTGGACATCAGAAAGAATATAACCTGAGGTCGTAAAGGATTATTTATAATCAGGCATCTGAATGAGGCAACATCTAAGTCCACAAGGAAGCAGCACACTGCCTGTGTGATCAAGGATTATAAAGAATTATAATCCAAATCTAAAGGAGGGAATGGCATCAGAGTGAAAATTGTGAATACTTGGTTTGCAGAAGGCTATGGATGGCAGTGGATGTCCAAAATCAATTTTCAGGGTCCATACATGGTTTAAGCCTCCAGTGAATTCCCTCTGACCATAATTGAGAAATGTGAACAGCCCATTATGAGGCAGAGAGCATTGGGAAGTTCACTATGGCAGATGTAGTTAAGTTAAAACGTACTATCATTTGATCTTCCGTTTGACCCATTTTAAAGCCATTTCATTCAGTTTATCCAGTGCCAGGCAAACAGCTGACTCAAGGAGGAGATGGGTGATGGGCATTTCCAAAGCTCTAGGGTGTGACCAAAGGACTGACACAGGGGCCAAGGACTAGCGAGTGCGGGATGTGGGGCGCTAGGTTCAGCTCGATGGGAGCCGTGTCAGAGAAGGGGAAGAGAGAGGGGAGGAGGGTCAGACAGGACAAGTGCAAGGCCCTGACAATTCCTGCCACGCCTCTCAAGTACACGCTGCGGTTGAGAACCTACAGACAGAAATTCCCATTTCTGGGTAAAAAGCAGACATGAATGCAACCAGGAACGAGAACCGAGGAGCAAGAAGTAAAAGAAACTGGCCCCGCAGAGGAAGACAGGCCTGTGGGCGGGGGATGGGACACGGACAACAGCTCCCGGCTCCTCTGTCATGTTCGATGTGGGGCTCTGACAGGGGGAATAGGCCTGCTCGGGGTTGTATTTCTTGCAGAAGATGTCTTGTCAAATAGCCCAACTCCTCTCATTTGCAGGAAACTGCAAAGTTTCTACCATGGCAGTTGGGCAACATTTGTTTGCTTTCGCCAGGAACAAACGCCGGAATTGAAAGGCAGTTAACTGCTGGGCCCATGGACTTGGAGCAGCATTCAGATCGCCACTGCAGGCTGCTGTGCAGGATTAAAAAGCACCCCTCCCAAAGCCTTTTTCTCTTAACATTTCTTGTTTTCAAACTCACTGTCCAAACCCTCATGTATCAGCGGCGGGCTGGTCCCTGCAGACTTCAATTAAAGACAAATGCATGGCTTATTGTCATTTCCCATGGATTGATCTCCCAGTCACTCACAACTAGCACAGTGAACACCCAAATCACTTGCTAAAATCCTCTACTTAATGTTATACATAAAGAAAAATACTTGGCCAACTCATGTTCCCTTGTATTTGTGATTGTTACACAAGAGAGGAAGAGCCCCTCTACTGTAGCAGCAGACATCAGAGGTCCTCCCAAGAATGAAAACCTTAGTTCATCAAGACTTTACCAGAAAAGTGAGAAGACAAGCAATGGCTTTGGCAGAGTGAAATCAATCATGTGTCTGACAAACACCTCACAACCAAAGTCTTTAAAACGTGACAATGAAAGACCAATCATGAAGTAGGCAGAGGCCTTTCAAGGGCATTTTGTCAGGCAGGCCTGTGAACAGCCACCTCCCACATGCACGGGTGAGGTGTGCGGCAGCGTGCAGATTGGCACAGCTGTTAAGAAAACCAGTGCCTCAACCAGCCACCAAATACAACCATCGCCTCATGCAGGTCTGGGCATGCACTCAAAGGACTTGTGACCAGGGGTGTTCAGAGGCTTGCAACCAAGGGTCACGGCAACACAACTGCCTTGAGCCAGGAGACAGCCCAAATTCCCACCAAAGAGGCGTCGTGGTACATGGTGGGCCACACCCACATCGGACTCAGCCAGCAGGAGAATGAGGCCGTGCTAGAGTATGCGGGAGCTGGAAGACAAGGGACTCAAGAGTATTAAAAGATAAGGCGGATACAGAGAGAACAGAGTTGATTGGGGTAGTGGGGAAGGGGGTGAACAGTGATGGAAATATCTGCCGTATTAAGTGTAAGGGTGCAACATAGTTGCACACGTGTAAAAGCTGTGTGATTCGCACCAAACACCCCCGCTTTCCAGATGGCGGGTCTGGCTTGGGTGAGGAATGGGGGAAGATGCTGACTGGATGTTATGGTTCAGCTCAGAGTGACTGTGACCAGATCCACTGTGGGCGCAACACTGCTGGGTATAAAACGAGCCTGCTCGAACGGGAAGGGAGCAGTCACCTTGATCCAGGGCACAGCTGTGACCCCAGGAGCGACAGGACCACAGCACACGAGGCAGAGCAGTGGGCTTCCCGGCCCACAGAGCAAGTCAAGGCGAGTGCTTCCGGGCAGGAGGTTGGGCTTGTGGAGGGGTTGCTGCTAGACACTGAAATGGGAGGGCTGAGTTTGCCGACCCACAGAACTGAACTCGAGCGCTTCGGTGTGATGCTTTTGGTGGACGCCCTGTGTGTATGTACTGGCACTCCTAAAAGAGCTGTGCAACACTGCCTGGGAGGACAGAGGCCAGGCCAAGAGGCCGAGGGCTGGAGAGGAGAAACTGTCCTGACTGGTCGACTGTGTCCTGAGCACTTCTCTGTGACCTGTAACCCGGCAGCCTCCCTAAGAGACCCCCTGGAGGTGTGCATGACCTGAGAGTTTTGTGCGGCCACTGTAGTGAACCCCAACCGTGGCAGCTGAAGGGCACGGAGTGCTGTGGGAAGGACAGCTGGTGCTGATGGTGACTGTCCTCTCTGTTAAGTTAGAGGTCAGAGGGCACCACGGTGCCATTTTCTTTTTCCCAGTGACTACTGCCTGCAGAGGGGTTACGAGTTGGGCTGCCAACTGCAAGGTCAGCAGTTTGAAACCACCAGTTGCTCCGTGGGTGAAAGTGAGCTCACTGACTCAGAAACACACAGGGGCAATTCTACTCTGTCCCTCAGGCTTGCTGGCAATAGGAACTGACTCAATGGCAGTGAGTCTGGGGTTTTTGCAAATTGCCTCATGAACACCCAACCACCTTCTTTGCCATGAGACCAGGAGAAGTGGGTAATCACTGCCTCCCCTGATTGAACATATTTTGATCAAGCATAGAAGGATCCTGACCAAGGGGGAAAAGTGTAGTTCTAGAGCCGCCCACGTTGGAGGAATCCCTGAAATTCTTGCCCTGAGATAACCTTCCAACCCCAAACAAAAAGAGTCTTCTTCCAACCCCACAGCAGTTTAGCTCAGCTAGGAGACAAGGCCTGCTGTGAGCACCGTGTGTGCAAGAACGGTTGACGTGGGGCTGAACATGGGCACGGGGGCTGCATACTCCCGGGGTGGGAGGGTGGCTCCACAATGTGCAAAACCAGCCCCAATGTTGAGAAGGTAAGCCACATCCCACCAGGGTAGCCATGGAGACTGGTGGACACACGTACACCCTGCTGTGGATCTTCTCGACACCAGCAGCAAACTGAACATTCAGAAATCAGAGTGACAAGGAAGAGACTGGCTGTGACCTGCTCGAAGGAGAAGCAGCCTCTCTACAAGGTTGGGAGACGGCAACATTCCCTGTCTTTGGAGCTCCTGGGCTTTCCTGATGTCCATATTTACCAGGATTCCACAGTTGTCCGTGGTTCCCAACTCCCTGACACAGATTACTGAGACCCGCCCACATCCCTCACTGCAAGGATACAGGGGAAAAAGAAGTCTTGAAACTAGGATCAGTCACTTGTGAAACTCAACCTGCAAGTGCCTTTCAGGAAGACATATACATTTAGATTTCTTAAAAGGAAAAATAAGGAAAACCTACCCTTTACATCCAGGACGTCAAGCAAAGACTAAGGAAGGTGGCTGAGAGCCCTGGTGCTGGCACTGGACACAGGGGGCTTCGCTTTCTGCAGCAGGTCAGGGCTTGCAGGAGCAGTCACCGGATGCTGGTTGGCCCTCTCCAACTCTCCCAGGAACAGCACTGGCCCTGGGAACGCAATGTTCAGAAGTCAGGGGGACAGTCTGAGGTCTCAGTGTCAATGCATCTGGCAGGAACCGCCTCTGTTCCCCAGGGAGTGGGGAGCCAGAGGCAGCCCTCAGCGGGGCTGAGCCTTCCCAGCTTAAAGACAGAGTGACTAACGAGGACTGTCAAGTAGGCTGTGCACTATCCATGCGTGTGCTTCTTAACGACAGAGATGCACAACCAGCATGTTTGCTTCAGTAAGCAGCCCCATGGAATGAAGTTTACGAAGTGTGAGTACCCACTGAGTGCTGGCTCCAGCACTTCCCGTCACCACAGCTGTGTAAAGTGTGTTCTCAGTCCCTCGTGAGGGGGTGGGATAGACAGAGTGGCTGGGAAAAGGTCAATTCTGAGCCTGTTCAATCTTCAAGAGGACAGATGGACTCCTCTTTCTCCCGAGGGCCAGCTGGTGGGTTTGAACCATGGACCTCGCAGTTAGCAGTCAACACTAACCAACAGCCACCACCAGTGTTCCTTATAATACACACTGGCCCTTCAAAAATTTATCATCTAGGAAAAGACAAAGATTATCTTGAGTTAATGCTAGTATTGAAATTGTCACACTTTCTAATGCCCGAATCAGGAATTTCAGCAGGATATACACTGGTGTTTGTGTGGACCTGAAAATGAACACCAGGCGGTATGGGACACCTGGATACAATGTGGGGGAAAGACTAGTGCACTTGAGTGTTCTTCACCTGACTTGGCACGTGGAGTCCCTCCCCCACCTGCAGGGTGAGCGTCTCTCCTCCCTTCACAGAAGGCACAGCAGGTAAAGCACCAGGCAGCAAACCCAAAGCAGGTGCAGTGGTTCAAACCCACCAACCACTCCACAGGCAGAAGCTGTGGCGGTCTGCTTCCGTACCCTCCACCCCCACCCCCACCCAGGCAGTACTCTGTCCCAGAGAGTCCTCATGGGTTGGCATGAACTTGAGGGTACCAGGTTTTCTGGGGAAGTGTGATCACTCAAATGGACCGTCAGTGTGGAAAATACTTTCTTCATATTGATCTAAGGTGTTCCCAGCAAGCACCTCAAGCCCTAAGCAAAGACGCACCGTTAGGGTCCCTGCATGTCGAGGCGGGCTGATGTCCTGGAGGGAGACGATGAGTGATTTAGCATGCTGTACACTGAGGCACATACTCATCCTGCCACCTCACCTCCTCCAACCCCCTCAACAGCCTCTCTATCCGACACCGCCCCCAGGCCTTACCCGGTCACGAAGTTCTTAAATGCCACCCCTGACACTGAGATTTGCACAGGCGTCCCATGAACCCACCCTGGGAAAGAGAGAAGGATCTCCACGGCTTGTCTTCATCAGGGGGACATCAGAGGCACCACAGCCAGTGGATCCTGCACCAAAGGTCCTTTCAGGGTGTACAGTTGGCGGTCAACTACTGACCAGTGTCCAAAGAGAGCAGAGAGGACCGCAGGCGAGCCACAGCTCTTCAGAGGTATTCACCTTTGAGCAGCATGCGCCCTGTGAGAGCCGGAGCCTGTGGAAAGCAGAAGCCACCGGGGAGGTCAGGGCTGGAAACTGAGGCAGTCTGAGCTCTCAGAGGCCTGGCTGCCTTCATGGACTGGTCCCCACAGACACAAAATGAATGTCACTTCAGGAAAAGCACCTGACAGGACACTGTGCATGCTTAGTCCAACACTTGGCATTCAAGATCACTTTTGACACAGCCCAGCCTCGTGCAAGGGACAAAAATAGCACGCTATTCTATGAGTAGCCTGGTGGCGTAGCGGGTTAGGAATTGGGCTGCTAACCACAAGGCCAGCAGTCTGAAACCACCAGCCGCTCCAACCAAACGACAAGGCTGTACTACTCCTGTAAAGACAGACTCACAGTCTTGGAAACGCAGGGGGATTGTGCTCTGTCCTGTAGGGTCACCGAGTCGGCATGAACTACATGGCAGTATACATACACACGCACACATACTTGTATGTATCTATAGAGTGGTACTCCATCATACATCTGTTAGGGTTGGGTTAAAAGCTCTACATTAAAGTTAACATAAATTGCATCACATGCTCAACAATCACTGCATTTCAGGGATGCAGCTTAATAAATTACTCAAGTACACAGTTTTTTCCAAATATAAACGGCTTAGGACTGCCATATAATCCGTACAAATGAAATTATGTTTTCTTTTTTTAAAAAAGCTTCTGTTTATAAGTCAAATGGAAAAGAACATACTTTAAAGTAGTGGTCCTCCAGGAACAGACTCAAAAATTCTTATCCATACAATCTATCAAACCACCACCACTATCAAACACTCAACTCTAGAATCAATTAGAAGGCTTCAGTCACAGTAAAGAAGATCCATCTCGTGCTCAATTGAGAGCAAATACTTCTCCTAAACCAAACTCACTGCCACCGAGTTGATGCCGACACAGCAACTCAATAGGGCAGGGTAGGACTGCCCTGTGCGTTTCCTAGACTCTAACACTATAGGATTAGAGTATCTTGTCTTTCTCACACAGAGCGGCTGGTGATTTAGAATTGCTGAGCTTACAGTGAGCAGCCCAAATACCCCACAAATAAAATCTATTTTTAAAAGAGTGTCCACCTACGAAATTGATTTCAATACATCCAGCAAAGTTAATTTAGAGTAAGTGCTAATTGAATACTGGGGTGCTGGTGGCTCAGTGGTTAAGGACAGGTTTGAACCCTGGCTGTCAGTCAACTCTGCAGGAGGAATGCCAAGGCAGTCTGCAGCCTGAACCCCACGGAAGCAGTTCTTGGTCCAGTAGGAGAGCTATATGTTAAATATTAAATAAAACCCAGATACTAGGTAGAATACTAAATTACATATGCCACGCTTAATTGTCCCCACAGGAATCTGAGAATGTTCTTAAGTGTCTTAAAGTGCGCTTATTATCCCCCTACCCCCTACCCGTTTGTGAAAACTAAAATAATCTTTCTACGTAGAAAAACTTATTGATACTACAGCTAAAAGGAACCAACAAGGCACACTACTAGTTGAGACTGGACCCTGGAAAATATACACATGTAACTTCACACCCCAAAACAAACCGACATGGGCTCAGAAACCCAGAGGACAGACTAGAATACTGCTCCTTAGGGCTTCTGAGGCTGTACATTTTTAAAGAAAAGCTGAGAGCCTATCTTGCTCCGAGTGGCTGGAAGACCTGAGCTGGGCCGGAAGGTTTGAACCACCAACCCTGTGGCTAGCAGCCCTCGGCTTAACCCACAGCAACACCAGGGCTCTTTGAACACGTGATAGTGAAAGAAATCGTCTAGGGATAAAGAGGCAATTGGCAGACTTACCAAAAGGCGAAACTGAATCAGCTTTTCTTGTATTTTAAAATCTTCCATTCAAATTTCTGCCGATTAAGGGTATGAAACTACTGAAATTCCACCAGTGAGTTTACAGGTACGCTTTAGGCTTCAGAAATCCTCCTTGCAAAGTCCTAGTTCACACAGGCGTGCTGTGCTACTGAGTTCGTTTTGTGGGAGAGGAAACTGGAGACAGGAGCACTGCATGGCATTCTGAAAGTGACACTGGGCTGAATTATGAGCACAAGGACATAAATCAGCCCTAAGTTCTAATTAAAATGTCTAATCATTACCTCTATTCACTCCTACCTCGGCACAAATAAAAACACCTAGCACTACACTTACTTTTGCATGCATTAAAAAAGTAATCAAGGGCTCTCGTTAATCATAAATCTGATGTACTATTTTAAAAACTTCACTGTGCACTGAAATTAGCAATCCGGAGGTGGTTTACTGAAATTTGGGGGGGGGGGAGATGGACGGACAAAAAACATTCTTTTAATAGCATATCTTCATTTTTAACTCACTTGTTTAATGTAGGCGGCAGGAGCTGGTACTGAGAACTCAGGATGGCACTGGCGAGCCCCCCACCCCCATCTTTGTAACAGTCGGGTGGGGGAGGTCACTCAGAACACCACACCACAGTGTGTCCAGTCTCCCCAGAGCACCAGTCCAAACTCCCTGCTTTCTGTCTAAAGCACAGGAACAAAACAAAAAAAAAGACTAAGTGCTCTGGAGGGCTTTCAAAAAGTTGGTGGAAAATTCCACCCTCATTCCATTGTCTGGTCAACTGTTTGAAGGCCCTGGCCTAAGCTGCTGCTCTGGTCCTCCACATTCCTGCTCTAAACTCAGGGTGGGGGTGGGGGCCTGCTCTCCCCTGCACCAGGCAGGAGAGCACAAAGCAAACTGGATGGGATCCATTATCCTCAAGACCGTTTGTCAGCACTTCCTCCCTCCTCCCAGCGGTAAGTTCATTTTGCTCTGGTGATGTTTAAAACAGGAACGGGAATAGTTGAGCAGGATTTCACCAACGCAAAACGATTTCAGAACCCAAATCCCCATGTACTTCTTTGAGATGATTCCAAACCAACCTGATTCCATTAACAAAGAGAGAGAAGGTTGGGAAGGGGGCCCTTTGCAAGTTTAAAGAATTTGTAGCCATTCTTTGATCAAAATAGCATTTTCTTCACCAGTGACCCAAATAAAATGACAGCTGTGGAAAAAGCAGGCCTTTAATTCTGACGACAATTTGCGCCTAGAGAACAAGTCTGGGAGCACTGGCTGGTGTTGCCCTCAGACTTCACACCAGCACTCGGCGTGATTGTGTGTGTGTGTGTGTGTGTGTGTGTGTGTGTGTGTGTGTGAATGCTGAGGACCCCTCTAAGAAGGGGCCAGGCAAGTTTGAAACCAAGAGAGTGCATTACCTGGAGGGGGTGGGGGTGACGTTTCTAGACTAACTTGACTCAGAATTTTCCTTCACAATGAAAACTGTTATGAATGAGGCCTCAGTGTGTCCCCTCAAACGGTGCAGGGCACATCAGGACAACTTTTCCACTCAGTTAAAAATTAGTAGGTAGCACTATGTGGTTCACTCCTGAGTTTAAGAAGCCCCATAAATATTAACTTTGCCCCCAGGCAGTTTTAGGAAAGGGAAAATTGAAGGAAAACACACGGGTAAATGTTCCACTATGCAAAAAATCTGTCTTTAAGTTGCTGCACTCCAACCGATTTTCCATAAAGCAAATTACATTTGAGCAGTACCAGATACAATCCCCAAACCTCTGTCATCCGGTGGATTCCAGCTCATGGCAAACGAGCTGATAGGACAGAATGCAGCCAAACTGCCCCAAAGGGATGTCCACGCCGCCTTACTCTCCAGGGACGTGGCTGGTAGGTGTGATGGGCCTCTTCTGGTGTGCATTTGAGAGCTTTAACCACTGCACTACCAGGGCCCCTAAGTTCCACATAAGGGGGGTGGGGGGGGCGCATCGATCGTTTAAAGGCACCTTGTAGTGGATCCTTTTTTGCAAAATGTAGAATTCTAATGTAACACAACTAGCCACTGCTTAATTTATTTGTTTTGTAATCTTCCACTTGTAAGTATCAAATTTCTTACATAGAATGCAGCTGCTTTCAGAAGCCAAAGGCACTGGGCTCCCAGGCCTGCCCTTCTCCGTCCCTCCTTCCCTTCACCAAGCTCTAAAAATGTCACCAGGACACTCAGCTGTCCCTGTGATGCACCAGCAAGGCTAGAAAAGTTCGGGGGGAAAAAAACAAACCCTGATTCTTTCCCTTAAAATGCAAACTGGACATGTAGGAAATCTCCCCCACCCCACCAACTAAAAAAAATCCAAAAGTAACGGCCAAAAAAAAAAAGGTTCAATAAAAAAGGATTTCTAAACACAAAAGCTGGCCCACACCCGCCTCAAATCAGTTTCACCTCTGTCCATACCAGCGGGAGGAAGCAGTTCCAGAACTGTTTATGAACACATGACCTCCACAATGCCACCAAGGTCAACAAGACTTCAGCAGGGGGATGTGCAGGCTAAGGGCTGGTTTGCCCAAGTCTACGGTTCCCTTAAAGGGATAGGGAAGGAAGAAAAGACAGAGAACCCCTACAAATGGCTTTGTATACTGTCTGTAGGTGGCAACATCCCAGAACCATGTGATGGGATTATACACACATATGTAAACCGTAGCCAAAGGGAGAAAAAATATGGGGGGGGGGAGGATTTCACAGCACAGAAATCACTGCCCACTCTGAATTCATTAACAAGCAAGCCCCAAAACAGAGGACTCTTCCCTGGCATCTGGTAGTGAAAACCTTGGGCACCATGGTTGCTGGCCGCCAGGGCTCAATTTCAAAGTGGTGTTCTGGGGAGAGAACTTTTTGAAAAGGGCAAGCCACCCAAGATCCATAATCAACAGCACAGGCAAGGAAGGGCCTCTTCAGACCTGCTCAGGTGAGCCTGCAAATTAATGCCCATTGGTTACCCTCACCCTTACCCAAGAATCCGTGTGGTTATTTCCTGGGCTCTGGTCACTGTGACCAACCACAACCAGGAAGTGTGCCTAGATGGGATTTAAATTTTAAAACGCGGTCCATACTCCGGTGACCCCTCCCATCCTCCACCCGCCCATCCCCCCGCACCCCGCCAAGTCCTTACCAACGTGAAACTCCTGTTATTTGAAATTTCCAAACTTTCCCACGTGAACAAGGGCCATCCATGCTAGCGCTGCTGGTGGCCACGGAATGGCGTCCTCGCGGGGAACAGGGTCACTCGGGCCCGCGCCCCCCCCCACGCCCGCAGAGTGGGAAGCCATGGGGCAGCCACGGCCACGGGGCGAAGGGCGCAACGAAGCCGCCCCGACCGTGCGCGACGAATCGCGGCAGCTCTCTCGATGGCTCCGGGGGCGAGTTCGGCCTGGGGAGCTGCACAGGATCGGGGTCGTCCCTGAACCCCGGCAGTTGTGATTCAACGGCCCTTGGACGGCTCCAAGCCGACTGGGTGGGGGTGGGGGGAGGGCAGCGCAGAAGCACAGCCAGAGAGGGGTCCTCCGCCCGGGCGCTCGATGTGGCCACGCAGCCTCGCGCTTGGGGCTTTTGAGTTGGGGGCTGGTCCAGTCCTTGGCGCACAGACCCCTGGGGCGGGGGG